GATGCAAAGCTGCGACCGCTGTTGACATAGCCGCGAGCTTGGTTGCGTTGTTCATCCTTGATCCACTGCTTCAAGGTGAGCCTTTCGTAGAAGAGGACGTCACGCGCGGGGACAATCTCCTTGCTGTCAATGTCGAGAATGAGCCAGCCCTTGTGTTCGTTGCTGAGCCCCAGATGAACCCCCCATCGTGCACGTTCAGTAAACTTGCCGATGTGTGCCGAGGTTGGCCGGTACTGCACCATGCACCCCCAAACCCTCAGCATGGAGGGATCTCCCTTTGTGCCGGTCCATTTCATGTGTGGGGAAAGGTTGTCTCTGTTGGCCGTGGTGGAGAGGAGGTTGTATAGGCGTACTGCGTGGTTCATGGCGTAAGGCCAGAGCTTCTTGGGGAGTCCGGATTGGTTCATGAGGGCGCGTACTTTCGTCATGAGGGTGCGGTTTACCCTCTCTGCGACTCCTTGCTGCTGATGAGCGTAGGGGAGAGAGATCTCATGCTTGATCCCCTTTTCGGTGAGGACGCTTTCCAGCTCGTGGCTGCGGAACTCCTTGGCGCCATCACTCTGCCAGATTTTCAGCTTCCTCCCTGACTGTCGCTGTGCGTGTGCAAGCCAGATCCGGAAGACTTCTGGAGCCTTGGACCGTGCGTCGACGTTGGCGATCCAGACGTGGCGAGAGTAGGCGTCGATGAAGGTCAGCGTGTATTTTTCGCCGTTGAGTCCGTCGCAGGTGAGTACGATGAAGTCGCTGTACACCTTCTGCAGTTTCTTGTAGCGGTTGGTGCTTGGCTCCAGTGAAGGATATGCGCTGTGAGTGAGGGCTGCAGTGGGACAGACGGTGCAGGTGAGTGGATGTGAGGTGTTGTGTGGTTCGGTGCCGTCGGGGCGCAGAAGTGCTCCTGGGGGGAAGACCTTGGCGCGGAGGCAGTTGGCGAGAGTCTGGCGCGAGGGATGCCCGAGTCGCTGGTGCCAGAGGTCGTCTTCGGCGCGAATGCCGCTGCTGCGCATGTAGCGTGCGCGATGCTCTGCTGCTTCCTCCTCTGTTTCTTGTGGGATCTGGAGCGGTGGTTCCTCCTCTTCTCCTGGTTCTGTTTCGTTTTCTGCTCCTTCTGCTTCTCCTTCTGCGATTGTCTCCCCTTCTGCAGGTGCGGTCGAAAGATAGAGGGCGAGAAATTCGCGGTCGGGGATGATGGTGAGCGGTGTTGTTGTGCCTTCGATGAAGCGGGCGAATGGATCTGGACGGGAGATTGGACCAAGAGAGTCTCGGACAGGTGTTAGAGGTACATCCCCCTTCTCAAGCTCCGTCCAGGTGCTATCCCAGCGCCAGGGTGAGCGGGGTGGTGAGCGTGGAGGTGGCGGTCGTCCGAGGGGTATGGCGACACGGGGTGATTTTTCTCCGCGTTCGGCGCGCATCTCCTGTTCTGCTTCCTTCAGCTCCTCTTGGGTTATGTCCGTTTCAGTTGTTTCTTCCGTGCCCCAGCCTCCAGTGGTAACCATGCCGCTGCCGCTGGCTCCCCATGCTCCAGTGGCTGATGCCCAGGTAGCGCCGGTCTCGGGCTCGTAGTCATCGTCTCCCCATCCGCCTCGTCGTGCAGACTCCTCGCTCCAGCCTGCTGCGAGGCGTTCTTCATACAACTTTTGTTTCTTCTCTGCCCTGGCTTTGTCTTGTTCCTCTTTGACGCTTAACTCCTCTGCCTCATCAGGGTCTTTCCAGGCTGGGTCAATTTCCCGGCGGTAGACTTCGCGGGTGTACGGGCGCGGGCGTCCTTCCTCGTCTATGGTGGTGGTGTTGGCCTCGAGGATAAATCGGAGGGTGTCGGAACGTGGTGTGGGGTGCGGATCGGGCTGGTGACCCCACTGCTTGTTTTCTTCTCCGAAGATGCGGTAAGTTGATACTGCGAGTTCTTCCTCGGTCATGCCGCTGGGTTCTTGTTCAGCACTTTCCGCCTCTTGGATCGCAGCGTACTGCCTCTCGATTTGCTCCGTGCGGCTTGCCGCGGGTGTGTGGCAGGTGGTGCAGAGTCCGTTGATGTCGGGGTTATGCAGATTGATTTCGCGCGGATGCGGGCTGCGGCGGATCCATGGCCGTCCATCAGGATGTTGCCACGATTCTTCGTTCATGAAGGCGAATTCGAGGGGGGCCAGGTCCACGAGCTCATTAGATGAGGCTTCACAGCTTGGTACGTCGAAGTCCAGAACGTAGATCCCGTTTATGGAGCGGGCTCGACCGAGGTATTTGAACGACTCGGGAGGTGTGTCTGGAGGGGCGTACGTGAGGATGAGGTCGCGCGTGGCCAGGTCGGTGGTGAGTATGACGCCGCAGTCGCGAAGTTGTCCTGCTGAGAGCAGATTAAAGCGCAGGTCTGGGACGTAGAGCACGTCGTTGAACGAGATGTGGGTGTTGCTGTCTCGTGCTTGCAGGACGACAATGCCTTGGGAGTTGGCGCGCAGCTGGTGGCTATTAGCGACGGTGACGTAAGTTGCGGGGGCGCGGTTGAGGTTCGATACGTAGCGAGTCGAACCCACCATGTGCTGTCCGCAGCAGCTGTCCAGGTACCATGTGTTGTAATTATCTTTGTTGTTGTTGTTGCGGAGTAGTAGCGCGAGTCGGGGTGTTACTAGCGTTGCCTTGTAGCGTCTGTAGAAGGATGGGTCTTCGTCTTCCTTCCATCCGACAGGTACGTGGATTTGATTGTCGTGTGGCGGGCTTTCCCGCAGTGTGATTGGCTGATTCCAATCCTGCTCGTCTTCGTCGTACAGGTAATGGTGATCTTCTGTAAGGGGGTTATTCCACTCCTCCTCTGATTGCGGCAGTACTCCCTGAAGTTCTTCTTTTTCGTCAGGTTCGTCGGTGCGGCGGCGTCGCGTCGCCATGTTTGCGATTACGTTTCTGGGAGCTCCTCCTTGAGATCCTTGTGACTGCTGTGGTTGTTGTTGTTGTGCAGGAGGACGGGAGACTGGTTGTTGGGGCTGAGAGTGACGAGCGTCTTGTCGGCTGACCCAGTTGTTGTGGTGAGTGGAATTCGGGTGCCGATAGTTGGATCGGGATTTGCATCGATCCGTTGAATGCCCGAAGGCTTTGCAAATTTTGCAGTAATGGCGCCTTGGTTGTCGTCGCTCTTCACGGTTGTCTGTGTAGAAGGCGAGTCGCTCTCGGCGTGGCGCGGAACTCGTTCTGCTCGAGTCCATGTCCTGCTGTTCAGTCAGCAGTGCGGCGCATAGCGCGGCTTCGGAAAGTTGTCCTCGTTGTCGGAGTAGTGCCTTGCAGGGCTTCCACTCGGGCCCAAGTCCCTGGAGGATGATGTTTACGAATATCTCCTCCGAGATCGAACTTCCGTTCTTGATGATTTGATCACGGATGTTCCGACAACGGTTGATGTAACTGTTTGCTTTCTCCCCGTGCCCCATCTTCGTCTCCATGAGTTGTTGCAGGAGGCGGCTTGCAGTGACGGAATCCTTCGGCTGATATACCTCCACGAGGTGCTTCCAAGCTTCAAGAGCCGGAGCGGCGCTCTCTTTATAGGAGCGGATGCCGAGCTGTTCTGCCGGCGACATGTTGCGCAGCAGAACGCTATACGCCATGAGCGACTCACTGTAGTATTGAGCGCGGGCGTCTTCGGTGTCTTCCACCGGTTTAGGATAGGAGCCGTCGAAGTAGTGGTAGATCTGCGCTGTCTGTAGGAGGAGCTCAAGCTCAAAACTCCATGTATAAAAATCCTTGCCGTCAAACGCGGCAGTAGTCTTGATCTTTGACACACTGAGAAAGCGTGCTTGCGCAGAGTTGATGGTTTCGTCGCTTGGACGAGGGGCAGTTGTTGCAGATTTGTCTGAGTCGAGGGAGAAGCCGTGCGCGGCGGTATCGCGGCTTTTCGCAGCCGGTTGTCCAGGTTGAACTGGTTGGGAAGTGGTTCCCGCATCGCCTTTGCGCAGATCTTGGAGTTCTTTCTCCATTGTTGACAGTCGAGCGAATAACTGCTCGAGCGCGGCAGTGCCAATCGTAGTTGTCGCCTCATTTGTCGCAGCCGGGTTGGTTTGTCCTTCGGCCGTTAGATTTGTTTGACCTCCGGATCCTCCGGCCATCTTGGTCTTGGAACGTGTGCCGCTCGCCAGTTTTGGTTTGGCGAATTTTACGGAGTTGACGTTGCGAAGAATCCCTGAGCAGCTCTCATACCATGTTACAATCTGAAGTGAGATTTGTCCAAAAGGATCGTTCAGGGTTGATCGCAGGTAGTGTCGCAGCGGAAGTAGTGAACTCAGGTCAGAGTGAATGTAAATGACTGAGATTGATAATAGCATGCATACATAGGGTTTATATAGAAATACAGAGGAATGCGAAACGACCTAGACTAGCCATGTACTCTAAGGGGTACATTCCCTTATTCCAGCGAAATTCAAACCGTGCGGCGCGGGAATCAGTTTCAAACCTGTTCCCGCTCTTTTCACTTCAAATGTTTCTGCCTGCATCGGTCTTGGTCAGACGGTTGCTGTGTCGCTTCGACTCTTCTGACTCCTCGACTTCGTACTTGGTAGAGTCGGCTCCTGTAGCATACAGGAATGCCTTCTCATAAAACTTCATATCGTAACAGAAACGTTGAAATTGGTGTACAAAAGTGGGCGTTCGCCAGACGCCCAGTTTGTTAATTGGTTTGGACGGTTGGTGAGGCTCGGCACATTTTTCACGGGCTGACCAAGCTGACGGAGGTTAACGAACTCTAACTGACGGGATCAGGAAGGCGAGACCCACCTTCCTGATCCCGTCGTTATCCCGTCGTTTTTAGATATAATGGTGCTGGCGAACAGCCCCAATGTGAACGATGCTGTACGCTATGAAGTAGCGTGCGGCGTAAGGAATTTCAAAGGAATTTCCTTACGAGGTGCAGAGTATAGTTCCTGTCAGGAGGGTTCTGCGACTATTTGGTGTATCGAGTATGTGCAATGCTTTGGACGAGACATCGCGCCGCGAGATACACATGCGGCCCGACTTTTTCTCTGACACAAGAGCACATGTGCGCAAATTTAGAGTGTCAGGTGGACATGAGAGTGCCGATGGGTCAGTCACGCAAAAGTCACAGGTGTTTTGTGGTTTTCTGAGTGATTTGCATAAATTTTCGCGCGGTTTTCTGAGTAAAAACCTTTGGCGCCCGGATTTGCTGATTTGCCTTCCCGCGATGCCGCTGTCTTGCCGGCAGTCGATAAGTGCTCCGAGCAGGCCGTTTGCAACCGACTAGCCCCCAGACGGCACAATTCTCCGCAGGGCCTCGGAGCCAAGTCGCGCATTCGAATCGCCGAGTAGCAGAGACGGTTTTTTCACTACGAAGTCCAGCGACGTCAAGCAGCGGTTCGTGCTTCGCTCGTGATCGTGGCATGATGAGTCCAGATGATACTCAACAGCTTCCACTGGGCACGTGATCTTCACTACTAGCGGAATGATCGTCACATCAAGCCAAGCTTCGCTTCCTCTAAAAAACAAATCGCTCACTACTAGCCCACTCGCTCCTGGCGACTGTCAACGTAGGCCCAATAATAAATAGAAATAGCAATAAAAAATGTAGAGGTTCATTGTAACCAGCGGGTCATCATTCTCCACCCTGGTGCTGCTGGGCGGCAGCGCATCATAGCATCATGAGTCCGTTGCCGCATGACCTAGTGCTAGGTCGGAAATTTTCAGACCTAGTACCAACACGCAATGGGCCTCGCAGGACGTCGCATCCATCGCACGGCGACTGGACGTCGCATCATCCAGCTACTACTAGTAGTAGCACTACTAGCAGTAGTTTGAGGCGATCCGGCGACTTTGCAGGAGATGACCCACCAGCCAGCACGGATCTGGAAAAGTCAAGCTCCGACTTTCCCGCCTTCCGTGACTGCCCAGAAACGCAATCCAAACGGCTGCGAAGCTGTTTCACGGGGCTGATCGGCCGCGCAACCCGCGCGAGAGTGAGAGGGTCAAACGACCTCTCCACAGCCGGTTCGAAGCGGGGGTTCAGGGAGCTTCCGGCGCTGCCAAATGCGAAGAGCCGCGTGAAGTCGTCGCATCTGGTGCACTGGGTGGGGCTGCTCGCGCTCTTCACCTGCGCCTCCATCTGGCACCTGGTATGACCATGACGAATGGGGCTGTTCATTTCATAACTATTTCCACTAAGTTACTGTCTCGTCTCCGAGCGTGATTGCTTGGCAATCATTGTCTCTCACCTTACCTCCTTGCAGTTGCTCGCGTCAATCCCCCTTGCGCCTCAACGCCTCGTCTCAATCAGACGCATCTCACAAACCGCGTGTGTCCCGTTCCCCGTTCCCCCTGCGCTCCCCGTCCCCCATGTGTTCCCCCGTTCCCCCTGCGGAAGTCCCCCACACCCCGCACTTTCCCGCACGCGCCAACGCTCGTGTGGACTCTTGCGCCAGCCGAGGCGCCAGCGGCGCCTGTTCCGCCCCGCCTGGCACCAAGGCTCGCAGCGTCGCCTGTCCCGCCCCGTCCCCGCCTCATCCTGGTGACGCCGACGTACACGCGCGCGTTCCAGGCGGCGTACCTCACGGAGCTCACTCACACGCTGCGCCTCGTGCCGCCTCCGCACACGTGGATCGTCGTGGAGAGCGGCAATAAGGTACGTTACTGGCGCGGGAATAAGGTACGTTGTGGGTGCGGGAATAAGGTACGTTGTAACCCCTTAAACTTGCCAGCCCGTTTCCCCGCCCTTCCTTCACTCGCCCTCTCCCCTCCTCCGGCACACGTGGATCGTCGTGGAGAGCGGGAACAAGGTACGTTACTGGTGCGGGAATAAGGTACGTTGTGGGTGCGGGAATAAGGTACGTTTTCCCTCCTCCTTCACTCGCCCTCTCCCCTCCTCCGGCACACGTGGATCGTCGTGGAGAGCGGGAATGAGGCACGCTTCGCGTGCAGGATGGGAATGCGGCCTGTGAGGCGGCTCGGAAGAGGCACGTTATGCATTCATGGGGGAGGGGATAAGGTACGTTACGCATAATGGGGCGGGATTGAGGTACGTTACGCATGCTGGAGCGGGAATAAGGTGCGCAGTACACACCCTTCTGAACGTTGCTGATAGCTTTCAATGCTGCTGGGCCCTTGCGTGCAGACCAAGGGGACTCCCATGAGCGCACTGCAGGCTGCAGTGCACTGTAGACGACGAGCGCGCTTTAGGCTGCTGCACAGCAGAGGAGGCTCTCTTGCTTCCCATCTAACCCACTTTGAACCCTTATGTTCACATAACATGGTCCCGCTTGGTTGCCCGCAGACAGAGGAGACGGCCATGCTGCTAGAGCGCACTGCAGGCTACTGCGCAGCGACAGGAATGCTCCTCCTGCCCATCTATAGCCAGATAATTTCACTTACTGCTCTGCTCGGCTGTTGCGTGCAGACAGAGGAAACGACGAAGCTGCTGGAGCGCACGGCAGGCTACTGTGCAACAGAGAAGGCACTCTTGCTTCCAATCTAACGCCCTGTTCTGAACCCTTTTGTTGCATTTCCCCTGCAGACGGAGGAGACGACGAAGCTGCTGGAGCGCACGGCAGGCTACTGTGCAACAGAGGAGGTGGGCGGGTGACGCGGCTGTCCTGCGCATCATTGAGATGATGAACGCCCTCATTGGATCCTTGTTGGTGATGTGATCTGCTTCTGCCCGGCGCTTGTGTGCAGACAGAGGAAACGACCAAGCTGCTGGAGCGCACGGCAGGCTACTGTGCGGAAGAGGAGGCGGGCGGGTGTCGGAAACTAGAATATGTTCACTTAGCCACCGGCTATGTAAGTTCATGTCGGGATCCTAAAGGAGTAGGTCATGTATATATGTATATATGCATACATGTATAAATGTATTTATATATATGAATAAATTTATTAATATACATGTACATACAAATATGTACATTCTCAACCCTTGAATGGTTTTCTACTTCATGCCTCCACGCCTTCATCCCTTGTCCCCATCCCTGCACTGAACATATCTGAGACTCTCCCTCCCTCCTCTCCCACACACTCATCTCCCGTCTCTTTTCAGAAAGAGAACCAGCTGGTGTTCCGCGGCGTGGCCCAGCGCAACCTAGCCTTGGAATACAAAGAGAGGGAAAACCTAGAAGGAATAGTGTATTTCATGGATGATGACAACGCGTACGCGCTGCATCTGTGTTTCCTTCCTCTTACCCCACTCCCCCACAATCGTCTCCCATCCCTTTTCAGAAGGAGAACCAGCTGGTGTTCCGAGGCGTGGGCCAGCGCAACCTAGCTCTGGAATACATAGAGAGGGAAAACCTAGAAGGAATCGTGTATTTCATGGACGATGACAACGCGTATGCGCAGCAGCTGTTTCAGGAGCTAAGGAAGGTTCGGCGCGTCGGGGTGGTACCGGTGGGGTTCCTATATGGGAAAGAGAGCCCCATGCGCTCGTACGTTGGCCGCCCCATCGTGAGAATGGTCAGGGTGGGTGAGAGGGAGGATGAGAGGGAGGGTGAGAGGGAGGGTGAGAGGGAGGGTGAGAGGGAGGGTGAGAGGGAGGGTGAGAGGAAGGATGAGAGGGAGGGTGAGAGGGAGGGTGAGAGGGAGGGTGAGAGGAAGGATGAGAGGGAGGGTGAGAGGGAGGGTGAGAGGGAGGGTGAGAGGGAGGGTGAGAGGAAGGATGAGAGGGAGGGTGAGAGGGAGGGTGCTGCTGTGAGGGAGGAGGGGAGCGGTGCTGCTGTGAGGGAGGAGGGGAGCGGTGCTGCTGTGAGGGAGGGTTCCGTCTCTGCTGGGAGGGAGGGGAGTGGTGAGGCCAGGTCGATGCACTTGTATGCTGGCCGCCCCATTGCGCTGTTGCCATTGGATGGTGGCAGAGCGGGTGAAAAGGAGGGGAGTGGGAGGGTGTGGGGCGAGAGAGGAGGAGGTGAGAGGGAGGGGGGTGAGAGGGAGGGGGGTGAGAGGGAGGGGGGTGAGAGGGGGGGGGTGAGAGGGAGGGGGTGAGAGGGAGGGGGTGAGAGGGAGGGGGTGAGGGAGAGGGGGGAGGGAGGTGAGAAGGGGGTTGAGAGGAAGAGTGAGAGGGAGGGGGGTGAGAAGGAGGGGGGTGAGAAGGAGGGTGGTGAGAGGGAGGGGGGTGAGACGGAAAGGGGTGAGAGGGAGGGTGTTTCGTCTGTGGAGGGCAGTGGAGATGGCAGCAGCGACAGCAATGGTCGCAGGGACGCCAGCAGTAGCGGGAGTGACAGTGGCAGCGGCAGCGGCAGCAGCAGCGACAACAGGAGCAGCAGTGGCAGCAGTGGCATCGACAGCATTACCTACAGTGGCAGCAGCAACGGCAGCAGCAGCAACAACAGAAGCAGCAGCAGCAACGCTACTTCTCCTGGGGATGTCAGCAAAGCATCATCCGAGAATGCTACAGCTCCTGGTGGTGCTGGCGGTAGCAGTGGAGCTGGCGGTAGCAGTGGTGCTGGCGGTAGCAGTGGTGCTGGCGGTAGCAGTGGAGCTGGCGGTAGCAGTGGAGCTGGCGGTAGCAGTGGTGCTGGCGGTAGCAGTGGTGCTGGCGGTAGCAGTGGAGCTGGCGGTAGCAGTGGTGCTGGCGGTAGCAGTGGTGCTGGCGGTAGCAGTGGTGCTGGCGGTAGCAGTGGTGCTGGCGGTGGCGGTGGCAGTGGCAGTGGCAGTGGCAGTGGCAGTGGCAGTGGCAGTGGCAGTGGCAGTGGCAGTGGCAGTGGCAGTGGCAGTGGCAGTGGCAGTGGCAGTGGCAGTGGCAGAGAGTACGAAGGCGAGGGGTTGGAGATGGAGGAGGCAGGGAGTCTAGAGCCGACTCAAACGGTGACTCGCGTGCGGATAGTGAGGCGCCCTCGTGGTGGTGATGGTGGTGGCGGTGGCGGTGGAAGTGGGTACGAGGGCAGGGAGACGGAGCCAGAGGCAGCGAGTCTAGAGCCGACTCAAACGTTGACTCGCACGGCGGGGGGATGGATAGTCGGGGGGAAGGCGTACGGCCGCCGTCGCTTGAGGCGCCGCATAACTCGTGCGGCGATCGTGGGGAGAGAGAGGAGAGCGCAGATAGTGGGGGGGGAGGCGTCTTCTTTTGAGGCGCCGCAAAGGGAGAGGAGAGCGCAGATAGTGGGGTGGGAGGGGTACGGCCGCCAGATCCCGCTTCAGAAGAACCTCAGGGCACCGCGGCGGTACATCACTGACATGGCAGGGTTTGCGTTCAGGTGAGGTGCGGTGCAGATTGGTTGCGTTTATGTATGCCCACGGCTGAGACAAGCTGCAGCGGAACCTCAGAGCTCCGTGGCGGTACATCATGGGCATGGCGGGGTTTGCGTTCAGGTGAGGTGGTGCTGCGTTCAGGTGAGGTGGTGCTGCGTTCAGGTGAGGTGGTGTTGCGTTCAGGTGAGGTGGTGTTGCGTTCAGGTGAGGTGATGCTGCGTTCAGGTGAGGTGGTGCTGCGTTCAGCCGAACAGATGTGTGTTTCACTCTCATCCTCTCCTGCTTGTTTCACTCCCAGTTAGGAGCCAAATCTCCCCACTGTGCCCCTCTGTGCCCCACTGTGCCCCACTGTGCCCCTCTGTGCGCCCCTCTGTGCCCCTCCGTGCCCCTCCGTGCCCCTCCGTGCCCCTCCGTGCGCCTCCGTGCGCCTCCGTGCGCCTCCGTGCGCCTCCGTGCGCCTCCGTGCGCCTCCGTGCGCCTCCGTGCGCCTCCGTGCGCCTCCGTGCGCCTCCGTGCGCCTCCGTGCGCCTCCGTGCGCCTCCGTGCGCCTCCGTGCGCCTCCGTGCGCCTCCGTGCGCCTCCGTGCGCCTCCGTGCGCCTCCGTGCGCCTCCGTGCGCCTCTGTGCGCCTCTGTGCGCCTCTGTGCGCCTCTGTGCGCCTCTGTGCGCCTCTGTGCGCCTCTGTGCGCCTCTGTGCGCCTCTGTGCGCCTCTGTGCGCCTCTGTGCGCCTCTGTGCGCCTCTGTGCGCCTCTGTGCGCCTCTGTGCGCCCCTGTCTGCACCTCTGTCTGCACCCCTGTCTGCACCCCTGTGTGCGTGGATACAGTTTTGTGCGTGCTGTGTTGTTGTGCATGTGGCAGTGAGGCGCATAGTACTTCGTCCTCTCCTATTAGAACGCAGTTTTGAGGAGCATGTTTCACTCTTTCCTGTGTACCCTGTGGTGTGCCCCCCCTGTGGTGTGTGTATGAAACTATTTCCAGTGCGCCCTGTGGTACGAACCACCTTGTGGTGTGTCCACGCAGCACGGAGGCTCTTCTCAACGGCACAGTCCAGGGGAAGAAGCAGCCCATTTGCTTCCGGCCTTTTAATCGACTCAAAAACCCTTTTCCTCGGTGTGCCCTGTGGTGTGTGCCCTGTGGCATGTGTGTGTAGCATGGAGGCTCTTCTCAACAGCAAAGTCCAGGGGAAGAAGCAGCCCATTTGCTTCGGATTTTTTAGTCGACTCAAAAACCTTTTCCTGTGCGTCCTGTGGTTTGTTGTGTGTGTGTGTGTGTGTGTGTGTGTGTGTGTGTGTGTGTGTGTGTGTGTGTGTGTGTGTGTGTGTGTGTGTGCGTGTGTGTGTGTGTGCGCGCGCGCGCGTGTGTGCAGCACGGAGGCGCTTTGCAACGGCACAGTCCACGGGGAAGAGTTGTGTTTTGAGTCGACTCAGAACGCTTTTCTCTGTGTGCCCTGTGGTTTGTGGCATGTGCCTATGCAGCACGGAGGCGCTTCGCAACGGCACGGTCCAAGGGGAGAAGCAGCCCATTCGCTTCCGGCCTACAAAACGCGGGTAGGGCGACTTGACATGACACAGCCTTCACATGCCAGGTTATGATGCTGGGCACCTTCGCAGCATTGGAATCTCCTCATTTGCATTGTTGTCACTTTGAATTCTCATGCATGCCATCCAACCCCTCCCGTTCTCTTCCCTGTGTCCCTTTTCTGACAGGTACCTCGAGACTGATTTTCTAGGGCAGCTGGTGACACATGAGAGTGAACTCGAGCTGTTGGCAGATGGGTGCAGAGCGGTGTGGGTGTGGCACAAGCACATGGAGGATGATCATAGGGCCAAGTACCCCAGTGACTGGCACCCCGAGCATTGGGTGAAGAAAAAGTCGAGTCAGAAGGCTAGGGCTGGGCTGAGCGGGAGAATTGAACGCACGGCAAATAAGAATAGGAAGCCCCAACAACAAGAGGTTGGAATGGAGTCTGAACAGGAAACAAGGAGAGACCTGTTAATGCCAAGAACGTAACGTATTGATTTTTTATATATTTTATTCATGAGAAGACTTTCTTGTTTTACACTGATCACATTGCCGCTAACTTCCAGGGAGTATTTCACAAATGTTAGGTATCAAAAAACGACTACTGGAACGTTTTTAGGGAAATCAAAGAGCTGCTTCGCTACTAACATCAATATCGGGTAGACTCTTAGGGGACAGCCTGGGTGAGATTTGTTTGCAGCTCGTCCTCCCCCAGGCACCATCCTTCGCATCTCGAATCCCGGGAGTGCGAGCCGACCAGTCCTGATCCACGTTTCAGTAAGGTTCTCTGCGTTCTGGAGTGGTGATTCAACATCCAACACGGCTGAGTATGATATTCAGCGATGAGCGTTTCGGAGTGCCCGTCTTTCCTCGTGCTCATCCAGGCAGCGTGTCTTTTCCTTCAGCTCATATGATCAGATTCGCACGCTTCATAGACCTAGCGTGCTTCTGTAATCACAGCTCCGTCGCTCATCGATCCCTGGATTGTTCTCGCGACGCTCTTTCAATCTCGTTCCAGGATCCGACTGTCTAACGGATCGATCTTTTAATCTAGGTTAGTCGTTTAGAGATCCTTTCGCGATTGGATCCCATCCGTCCAAGACGACTCCCCGCTTATCTCTCTTTTACTAGATTCTTCGACCTACCTTCATTATCATATTCTGTGGTGTACTATCCTGATTCCTGAAACTCTCCTATTTCCTTTCTTCGTGTTTACTCCTTCCGTTGCTGTTGTCTGCGGATCTAGATCGTTTGAGTCAGCCCTCAGCGAGCACACATGGCGACAAACGGGCTAGAGATTGCCGGCGAGCGCATCACGGGTCAAGACGTCCGAACACAAAATGGTATGAATCTGGTTACACGAGGCTCAGGACTTGCTCAGAACTTCATGTATGTGGTTACAGGTCTCTAAGAAAGCACGCGGAGGGAAAGTAGGCCGCAATCTGATCCGTTCGCAGTGAAAGGGATTATTTTGCGCGCTTGGAAGTCCTTCTAGCATGCTCGGGCGCCAATCACTGGGGTAATTGGCCCTGTGGACGACTTAACTGTCGTCTTCTTAGCATGCTTCGACGACGTCTTTCCACGCTGCTTTTCGCGCAATTCGCATCATTTTCCCCGGGCACATCGACGGGTTCATCAAGGTCGTGATGGTATGGAGGGTGTTTTTTCAGAATCCTCAACAAGAAACTGCAACATCAAGGTCGAGGGTTCGAGGCCGGAGTAACAGCGACGAAATCATAGAGATCGTGATCACATGGAGCTGTCAATGGTGGCTTGTTGATCAACCCCGAACGGGAAGGACGGGGTGGTGGGAGGGAAGGAAAGGAAGGGGAGGGGGGTTTACGAGCTACGAGCTGGAATCTTGGAGTTGCTTGTCCGAATGCGTTTGTAGGCCATGCAGCCACAGTTCGTTGTCAAATCCAGGCATCATGATTGAAATGCCTTCACTTGACGTGTTGTGTGAAGCGCTCGCGGATCAATCAGTTCTCTGATCTCCATTCCCCATGCGCGACATGCCTCAATTTTCGATCTCCAGTCACGGCGTGCATGCACGACCATCTCCAACATTATAAAGAAGCTTTTTATTCGCCACAAAAGCCATCAGTATCAAGAAGCTCGTTAATTGATAGCCATTCCACAGCACCGGTCACAACCTCTCCCTCCCGCCATGTTGCTTCCCCCTCGTGCTCCCTCCTCTGATTTCCTACATTCTCGATCGCCAGTCACGGCGTGCATGGCCATAGCCAACATTGTCAAGAGCTCGCTGGGTCCCGTGGGACTGGATAAGGTGAGACTCCGCACGTATAACGAATCTCCCATGGTCATTACATTACACATTCGTCCTGCGTATGTGGCTTTTGCCCTGAGGGCGCGTCTCTCCTTTCACATGCCTTGTTATACATCCTCCCTGCATTCTGTGCGTGTCAGATGCTGGTGGTCGAAATTGGTGACGTCAATATTTCCAACTTCAGCCAAATCCTGTCAATCGTTCTCACCCGGTCTTTTTCCCACTCAGCAATTCTCAATCAGTCCCCCCTGCAACCCGTGCATGTCAGATGCTGGTGGACGGTATAGGTGACATCACCATCACCAGCTTCAGCCGTATCCTCTGTTCACCACTCATCGGTTCCCAGTCGCCCCCTCCCCTGCATGCATCCCGTGCCTGTCAGATGCTGGTCGACGACATTGGAGACATCACCATCACCAACTTGTCAATCGTTCTCCTCTCATCCCTTCACCACTCATTGGTTCCCATTCGTCACCCCTGCATGCATCCCGTGCCTCACAGATGCTGGTGGATGACATTGGAGACATCACCATCACCAACGACGGCGCCACCATTCTGAAGCAGCTGGAGGTGGAGCATCCCGCTGCCAAGGTAAGCACTGTTGACACAAAAACTAGTGCCACAGGCAAGGTACTGCTATATATGACGCAGCAGTCAAGGCAGTGCGCTGCTTCATGTTGCCTTTTGAGAATTCAAGCGCCCACTCTGAAGCAGCCGGAGGTGGAGCATCCTGCTGCGAAGGTTAGCACTGGTGACATAAAATTAGGCATCTGTTGAGTTGAGTCGACCGACATCAGCACAAGCTGCTGCACCCTCCCTCTCAACGCGCCGTGTCTGTCTGCAGGTGCTGCTGCGTCTAATGTGCCTGCAATACACCCGCCCAATGCTCCCGCCTCTCTTTTTGTCCTTTCTCTAGCGCTGTTCCTTTTCCTCCCCCTTGGCAGGTGCTGGTGGTTCTCGCAGAGGTGCAGGGCAGGAGGTGGGAGACGTGCCTTAATATGCCTTGAAAGGAACACCGCCACCCCCCGCCACTTCCCCCCCATCCCCCCTCACCCCACCCTCCCCTTGCCTCCCCTTGTCTGCCCCCCAGGTGCTGGTGGATCTGGCGGAGCTGCAGGAAAGGGAGGTGAGGGACGGTGTGCCAACGACGCCTCTGCTGCAACGTCCCTGCCTTCTTCCCCTTGTCTGCCTTACAGGTGCTGGTGGATCTGGCGGAGCTGCAGGACAGGGAGGTGGGGGATGGCACCACGTCAGTCGTCATCATTGCTGCGGAGCTGCTCAAGGTAAAGGCTTCCATGTATGTTGCTTGTCTGCCTGTCCCCGTGTGTGTCCGTGACCTTGTAGGTCCCATTGTCCTTTCATTCTACTCCACCTTCTCACCCTGCGTTGAGCAGAGAGCGGACGACCGCTTGTGCGTGATGCGGCAATCCCTGAGCCTCCTCATGAAGCACTCACCCCTCAGCAAACCTTCCTTTTACGTATTCTTCCGTTGTGCGTGTGGGCAGAGGGCGGACGACCTTGTACGCAACCGCATTCACCCGACGTCCATCATCAGCGGGTATCGAGTGAGTGAACCCCCTACCCCACCCCCTCTCTCCCCTGTGGTTTAACCAAAGACCATGGCCTTATAACCCCAAATTCCATGGCCTTAGCTTAAAAAACCCATGGTTAAGGCCATTGCCTGGCAAACCCAGAACCCTATCCCCGAAATTCTGAATCCAAAAGTAATTTTCTAAATCATAGAACCCGAAATGGTAGCTTCCCAAAACCAGAAACCTGAGATCATAGCTTTTCAAAGTCAGCACCCAAGGTGATAGCTTCTCAAACCCAAACCCAGACCATAGCCTCCTTGACACTGAACTCACGACCGTATCTTCCCAGACACAGAACCCATTAATAGGTAAAACCTTGTCCTTCTAAACCCAGAGCTCAGCACTCATTTCCGCTTCCTCACTCCCCAACCGTCTCTGATGGTTCACTGCAGCTGGCAATGAAGGAGGCGTGCAAGTATGTGGACGGCAAGCTGGCAGTCAAGGTGAGTGCGTGAGGTGGTGTTGGGGAAAAGTGCTGTGGGTGAATGAAATGGACCTGTAGGGTCAGTGCAGCTGGCAATGAGGGAGGCGTGCAAGTATGTGGATGGCAAGCTGGCAGTCAAGGTGAGTGAGTGAGGCGGTGTTGGGGGTAGGTTGCAGGGAGTATTGGTGGTGGTATTTGAGTGGCCTGCAGGCATAGGGTCACTACAGCTGGCAATGAGGGAGGCGTGCAAGCATGTGGACGGCAAGCTGGCAGTCAAGGTAGGAGAGTGAGGTTTCGAAGAATGGAGGGTTTAGTGGTCTGGCAATTGGGGGGGGGGGGGGGGGGGGTGGGTTGCAATGACGGGTTGCCTTCCTTTTTCGTTTCTCCTTTATCCTCCCTCCTCCGCTGTCCCTCGCCCCCATTCCACAACCTTTTTTTGCACTTTGCATCTGCTGCTGTGCGCGCGATTCCTCTCTGCCTGTGCTCCCCTGCACAGAGTGTGTGATAAGTCTATTCTCGAGTCGACTCAAGAAACCTTTTCTTGCACTTTGCATCTGCTGCTGTGCGCACGATTCCTCTCTGCCTGTGCTAGTTGAGGCGCCTCAAAACCTTTTTTGCCCTTAGCATCTGCTGCTGTGCACACGATTCCTCTCTGCCTATGCTCCCCTGCGCACAAGGGCAGGCGGGTGGAGAAGCTAGGCAAGGCAATGCAACACACGGCCAAGGCCAGCATGGCCTGCAAGACTAATGATTGCACATGAGTGATGAAATCACTTTTGAGAATTCTCTAATGAGAATTTTCCAAAGTGAAGCCAAGGCCAGCGTGGCCTGCAAGATTAGTGATTGCACATGAGTGATTCTGACCCGCTGCTGGGGCCTTCAACCCCTTTTTTTCTCCTGCCCTACCCCCTCTTCCTGTGCTGTGTTGTTGCAAGGGCAGGTGGAGAAGCTAGGCAAGGCGACGCTGCTGAACGCGGCCAAGCCAGCATGGCCTCCAAGATGATTATTTACTGTCCAATCATTAACACCCTCTCCCTCCTTACTCTCTGCGTGGGCTGCTGCCCTGCACACAAGAGCAGGTGGAGAAGCTAGGCAAGGCAACGCTGCTGAACGCGGCCAAGACGAGCATGGCCTCCAAGATTGTCGACATGGACAGCGAGTTCTTCGGCAAGATGGTGCGTGCTGCTTGTATCGAGTCTGTGCTTGTAGCGAGTCTGTTCTTGTATCAAGTCTGTTCTTGTATCAAGTTTGTTCTTGTATCAAGTTTGTTCTTGTATCAAGTCTATTCTTGTTAAGGTTCCACAGACTTTTTTTCTTATTTTCTTTGTTCTTCTTCTCGATTCCGCTCTCTGTTTGTTCGCTCCTCTCCTTGGCCATCACAGGTTGTGGATGCAGTACAAGCAGTGAAGACCACGAACGAGAAGGGCGAAGTCAGATACCCCATCAAGGTGCGTACAACAGAGTGATGATGTATCTTCTTGTTCAGTATGATGGATGTCACTGTAAGGAACTGATGCATTCATATGTCGGTTGCATGATACGAAACTTCTGTTCAGCATGTCTGAGACTTGGACACTGCAGCCGGGTAGATGTTGCGGCAATGACTGGTGGCGATGACAACGGTGTGAAGGGTTCTTTCTTCGAAGAGAGCGCCAGGGACAGCATGCTCATTAAAGGCTTTGAGCTCATCACCACGCAGCATGCTCCCTCTTCTCTCCTCTCGTGTGTCCCACACCCCTTCTCCATCCCAGGCCATGAACATTCTCAAAGCACACGGCAAGAGTGCGAGGGACAGTGCACTGATCAATGGCTATGCGCTCAACACCACGCGCGCCGCCCAGGGCATGCCCTGCCGCGTGGGGCCTGCTCGCACGTCCTGCTCTCTTGTTCTTGTTGCCCACAACCCTCCTACCTTTTCCCACCTACTCCTCTTCTGCCCCTCGTCTGCTGCCCCTTCTCCCTTACCTGGCCTCTCTCTTGTGCATCCCGCACCCCCTCCTCCTCCTCCTCCACCCCAGGCCATCAACATTCTCAAGGCGCACGGCAAGAGCGCAAGGGACAGTGCGCTGATCAACGGCTATGCACTCAACACCACACATTGTATCTCCCCCGTCCCCACCACCCGTCGTCTCCTACCCTTGAATACCCCCCTCCCAGGCCATCAACATTCTCAAGGCACATGGCAAGAGCGCAAGGGACAGTGCGCTGATCAACGGCTATGCGCTCAACACCACGCGCGCCGCCCAGGGCATGCCCCGCCGCGTGGGGCCCGCCCGCATTGCCTGCCTGGACTTCAATCTGCAGCGCACGCGCATGCAGATGGGCGTGCAGGTGCTGGTGACAGACCCTAAGGAATTGGACAAGATCAGAGAGAGGTGCGTATTGAGCAATTACGTGACTGAGTGGCTGCACGGGTGGGGGGAGGGGTGCATGGGGCTGCTGCTTGCATCGCGTGTTTGGACTTCAACCTGCAGCGCACTTGCCTGCAGATGGGCGTGCAGGTGCTGGTGACAGACCCGAAAGAGCTGGACAAGCTCAGAGAGAGGTGCCTGCGCTTGGCACAGTGAATTAGCAGTTGTGTTTTTTTCTGTGTGTGGTGACTGACATGAGTGGGTAATGGAGGGGTGGGAGGGCATGCCCCGCCTTGTGGGGGGCTGTTTTAGGAAAGGTGTACGCATCATGTATGCAGTGAATTAATGTTTGTGGTTAGCAAGGTGGAATTGGATAGTAAAAAGGAGCGCATACAGGAGACGCTCGGGTCGATTTGGTCTTTTTATTGTTTTGTGTTGTATTGCTCTGCGTCATGCTGCCTCACGGCAGGGAGTCGGACATTACAAAGGAGCGCATACAGAAGATGCTCAAGGCGGGTGCAAATGTCATTCTCACCACCAAGGGCATCGATGACATGTCGCTAAAGGTGAACTGTCGAGATTACATGTCTGTCATGATGACGTGTCGCTTTTCAAGCGAGCTGTCATGATGACGTGTCACTTAAGGTGAGCTGTTGTGATGATGTGGCGCTCACACGTTGATGTGATAATGAAGATCACATATTTTTCTCTCGCCTACCTTTCCCTCACATTTTCCCCCCTCCCGCATGTTCCCCCCTACCTATATCCCCCATATTCTTCCCTCCCTTGGCGCCAATTTACCAGTACTCACCAACCAGGCCGGCGCTATTGCGATGCGGCGGGTGAAGAAGGACGACCTGAGGCTTCCCCCTTCCTTCGTTGCCTCACTCCCCTGCCCCTGTTGTTCCCTCTCTTCCCATCCCTCGTCTATCAGTATTTCGTGGAGGCAGGCGCCATTGCAGTGCGGAGGGTGAAGAAGGACGACCTGCGGCACATCGCCAAGGCGTCTGGTGCCACAATGGTGAGGAGAGGGTGGCGAGGGAGGGGGGCATGTGAGTGGGCTTGGTGTGGGGATGGTTACGTGACTGCTGGGGGGCAGGCGGTGGGAATGAGGGTGAAGAAGGACGACCTGAGGCACATCGCCAAGGCGTCTGGTGCTACCATGGTGAGGCGAGGGGGGCGAGGGAGGGGGCCGTGTGGGGGGGTGGTAACTTGACTGCTAGGAGGCAGGGCGGTAGGAACGTGTGTTAAGAAGGACGACCTGCGGCACATCGCCAAGGCGTCTGGTGCCACCATGGTGAGAAGATGGGGGCGAGGGAAGATGTGCACATGGGCTATTGAGGTGAGGCGAGAGGGGCGTGTGTATGGGCGTGGTGTGAGGGGGGTGAACGGAATGCTGGGAGGCAGGAGGGAGGCGAGTGAAGCATGACGACCTGAGGCACATGGCCAAAGCGTGTGGTGCCAGCACGGTGAGGCGAGGAGGGGCGAGGAAGGCAAAGGGGGGCAAGCGGGGGCGAGGAAGGCAAAGGGGGACGAGGTGGGCGGGCGTGTGAGTGGGCTTGGTGTAGGGGTGGTAACCTGACTGCTGGAAGGCAGGAGGCAGGCGAGTGAAGAAGGACGACATGACCTGAGGCATACGGCCAAGGCATCTAATGCTACCATGGTGATACCAGGGAAGGCATGCGAATGGGGTATTGTGTTGAGGCGGGAGGGGCGAGGTGAGCAATCGGGACGAGGGGGCCTTGTTAGTGGGCTTGGTGTGGGGGTTATAACCTGGCTGCATCCAACCTCTTCGGATGCTCCCGTTTGCGGTTGGAGAAGAGGGAGACGTTTGATGCGTGCATTGCATGCTGGTGAAATCAAAGGAGGGCCGATAAGGGGTGCGTGTTGTGTAAGAGTAGCACATGATTCATCTTACTTTTCCCTTTCGCTTTTCAGATGCATGGAGAGGCATGGAGAGGGGAGAGACGTTTGGCGTGTACATGCTGAGCCGGGCAGAGGAGTGTATGAGAAGCGGGTGTTGTGTCACATTCACACCTAATACCCTCCAATGGTTCCCCCCTGTGCCACCTGTGGCCCCTGTGGCCCCTGTACCCCTTCCCGCTTTCCTCTCAGATGCTCACATTCGCGGACATGGAGGGAGGGGAGACGTTCGATGCATCTATGCTGGGACAGGCAGAGGAGGTGTACGAGGAGCGCGTTGCGGATGACAACATTCTCATCTTCAAGGGCTTTAAGGCCGCCAAAGCGGTGAGTGCAGGAGGGCACGATACTAGGGGGCCATATGTGCAAGAGGGCAAGGCAGAGGAGGTGTATGAGGAGTGGGTCGCGGATGACAACATTCTCATCTTCAAGGGCTTTAAGGCCGCCAAAGCGGTGAGTAGGTGGATCAGGGGCTGGTCAAGGAAAGGAGGAGTTGTGGCTGCTGGCTGGCGCCAACGACTGCATGCTGGACGAGATGGGTCCCTTGCTGCATGACGCCCTGACCTGTCCTTTCTTGTCCTGTCCCGCATGTGGTCCCTGTCCCTTACATGTCACAGGCCACGCTGCTCCTCCGAGGAGCCAACGACTACATGCTGGGGGAGGTGGATTGTTCCCTCCATGACTCCCTGCCTGACCTGTCCTCTCTTGTCCTGTCCCGCGTGTGGTCCCTGTCCCCTACAACGGGCAACCCTCCTTCTCCGCGGTGCCAATGACTACATGTCGGACGAGATGGATCGCTCGCTGCATGACCCCCTGACCTGTCCCTCGAAAGTCACTTTGTTCTGCGTGTGGTCCCGTCCCTGTACCTTATCAGAGGCCACGCTGCTCCTCCTTTGTCGTGTCCCTCACATGTGACAGGCCACGCTGCTCCTCTGAGGAGCTAACGACTACGTGCTGGACTACGTGGCCTGTGTTGGATAGCTGCATCTCCAAGACTCGCACTCGCTCATCTCTCCCGATCTGCTTCTCTAACTCTGTGACTTGCCTTCCATCACAGGCCACTCCTCCTCCGAGGAACCAACGATGGATCGTTTGGCTGCATGACCCCACTGACCTGTCTCTCTGTGACCTGCCTTCCTCAACAGGCCACTCTGTTGCTCCGAGAAGCCAATGACTACACGCTGGACAAGATGGATCGATCCCTCCACGATGCCATCTGCATCACCAACCCACTCTCCCTTGTGTGTCCTGTCCTTTACCACACTGCAGGCCACGCTGCTCCTCCGAGGAGCCAACGACTACATGTTAGACGAGATGGATCGTTCCCTCCACGACGCCATCTGCATTGTCAAGCGCACACTCGAGTCCAACTCAGTTGTTGCAGGCGGGGATGCTGTGGAGGCGGTGTGGAGGCTTTTGAGGCGCCTCAACAGGCGGGGATGCTGTGGAGGCGGTGTGGAGGCAGCACCACCATTTCTCCCCCATCGCCCTAACCTCCCCTCCCTTTCCTTCCATCCCTGCTCCCCCTTATACCCATGTCCCCTTCCTCCCCTTCCATACAGGCCACTCTGCTCCTGCGAGGAGCCAACGACTACATGTTGGATGAGATGGATCGCTCCCTCCACGACGCCATCTGCATTGTCAAGCGCACACTCGAGTCCAACTCCGTCGTTGCAGGGGGAGGCGCCGTGGAGGCGGCGCTGTCTGTGCACCTGGAGAACCTTGCAACGACCCTTGGATCGCGGGAGCAGCTGGCCATTGCTGAGTTTGCTGAGGCCCTCCTCGTCATTCCCAAGGTACGGGTGCCCTTCTCGTGCGCTTAGGCCGTGCCCTGTTCAATGCCTAAGGATGCAACAGACCTGGTGGCGAAGCTGAGGGCATACCACCACATGTCGATGGGCTTCTAACCCCGGGCTCCTTCCTCCCAATGCCTCTCCACCCGTTGTTGCTCCCTGTGCTGCTGCAGGTGCTGGCGGTGAATGCTGCTAAGGACGCCACTGACCTGGTGGCGAAGCTGAGGGCGTACCACCACATGTCACAGACTAAAAGCGACAAGCAGCACTTGGCAGAGTGAGTCTGGAGCTGAATTGCGTGAGCTGAGCTGAATGTGTTATCAGGAAGAGACCTGGTAGCTAAGCTGAGGGCGTACCACCACATGTCGCAGACTAAAAGCGACAAGCAGCACTTGGCAAAGTGAGTGTGGGATGTGGGACTGAGCTTTGTTGTAACGACAGTGCTTAGAGTCAACGCAAACCACAACAGACCTGGTGGCGAAGCTGCGGGCGCACCACCACATGTCGCAGACTAAAAGCGACAAGCAGCAGTTGGCAGAGTAAGTGTGGCGTAGGGTTGAGTCCACCGGAGAGACACGAATGAGTGGCATTGTAACTGTGGCCCGTTTCGTGTTTACCTACCTACCACCACGCCTCATGTTGTATACACACAGCGACAATCTGCACTTCGGCAGTGAGCTCTCCTCTCACATGCTTCGCACATTAGGTGAGAGGCCTGACACGAATGAGTGGCATTGTAATTGTAGCCCATTGCGTGTTTTACCCACCTAACGCCACGTTCATGTTGTAAACACACAGCGACTATCTGCACTCGGGCAGTGAGCTCTCCTCTCACATGCTTCGCACACTAGGTGAGAGGCCTGCCACGACTGCCTCTTACCAGACCTTTCTAGCAAAATCAGAGAAAGTGAGTTTTCGCACGCTTCGTACTAGTTGGCTGCACTATCCCAAAGAGACAATCCTTACCGTTGAGTTTAGTGGACTAAACAAGTTGGTTTCCCCGTGCTAGATATCAGTCATTTGAACCACCATGAGCGCACCACCATGTCATAAATCGTCTCTGAGTAGCTGTTGAATCTCCCCCTCTGCTTTCCCTACCCCGTGTCTCCTTGTGAAGCAGGTACGGCTTGGATCTAGTGAATGGTGTGTTGAGGAACAACGTGGAGCCAGCAATGAGTTTCAAAGCCTCTCCTTGTCCCCCACCTCTTTGCCCCCTTCCCCGTGTCTCCCTGTGAGGCAGGTACGGCTTGGATCTGGTGAACGGTGTCTTGAGGAACAATGTGGAGGCGGGCGTGCTGGAGCCAGCCATGAGCAAAACCAAGATCCTGCAGGTAGGAGGGCTGTGTGGCTTTGCTCTGGTGTCCATCAGGTACGGCCTGGATCTGGTCTGGTGACGAGGGAAAACGGAGAAACAATGTGGAGGCGGGCGTGCTGGAGCCAGCCATGAGCAAAACCAAGATCCTGCAGGTAAGATCTGGTGAATGGGGATAACACCGAGAGACAACAAGGAGGAGGAGGGGTGGAGTGGGTATTGGAACCACGTTTGAGTGAAAGCAAGAATCTGCAGGTAATTTCGTGTGTGAGTCGTGGTTTTGGTCTTATGCTGGTCTTCAGTATTGGCGCTTTGACTGTGGTCTTGATCCTGCAATGAGCAGAAGAGAAGGTCCTGATTTGAAGCGAAATGCCCACGTCTCTTGGTCTGGGTCTTGTCAGTCATGGCATTCCTCGCTGAGTGATCCTGTAGCAAGCCCACCTGCAAGTTTACCATGTCCTTTTCCCCTCTCGCCCCATGCTCGCTGTGTCTTCTTCCTCGCTGTGTCTCTACTGCATGTGTAATCCTGTGCCCTCAATTCCCCTTGCTGCAGTTTGCCACGGAAGCTGCCATCACCATTCTCAGGATCGACGACATGATTCGCTTGGCTAAGGCCCAAGACGGGCCTGAGGAGTGACAGAGTGTTAATTGACTATCACTACATAAGCACGATCACTTGGATTGAAATGAAAGCCATCGTGTTCAGTGCTGTTTTTATAACCAAAGGTGCCACCATCACCATTCTTAGGGTAGGCAACACGATTTAGCTGGCAAAGGTCCAAGATGGGACGGATAGTGATGAGAGGTCGGGTACTTGGCCATTTTTCCTTATTTCCACTGTGCTGCCTTTTTGTAAACCTGGCATGCGTGCCGATCTCAGTGGTGCACACTTGAAAGAAGATACTTGATCTTATTCAACAAAGTACAGAATGTTTTTTGTTTAACAAAATCTGGCAGTTACACCACGATGTTAGCTTGGGTTGTGCGAAAGAAGGATTCGGTTACCACAAATTCGCTGGGTCGTTTGCCAATTCCCGTCGCTGACCCCAACCAAACCATTTTGGGATTGGTTTTGCTTGTTGTAGTGAAAGCTACTCATAGCGAATCCTCTCGAACCGCTGAAACTTCCATAGTAGTCAAGAATCGTTACAAGCACTTTCTCTATCACGCGCCGTACCGTACCTTTTGCCAAAGCGCTGGGCGATGTTGACATATCGAATGGTGGCCCCACCCAAACATTTCTGTCACGGGACGGATGTACTGTAAGAATTGAGTTGCAGTACTGATACAGCAAGGGCACTCGTTATTCTGACGATGCTTAGAAACCTCGTACTTCCCTCGAACCAGGTTTTTGCTACCGAACCTTCACGCAGTACTGAATGCAACCTGTAAATAAAATTCGGGGGTGCCACTGGATTCCCCCTTATGGCCCCCATGGTCCAGATCGCCGAGGGGCAATCAGCCCCTCTGCGCTCCGTAACAGCCAATGGCTGGGCTGAGCATATCGCGCTTCGATTTATCCGTCGTCAATCGAATCGAGCCGCGATAAGCTGGCCTGCTCCCACAGTAATTTTCCGCCCTCCTCGCGCCCTACTTCGTTTCGAGGTGATACATAAATCGGTGTTTCTTATTATCATAATCCATCAGTTCAAACACCACCAGCCATCAGTTCTGCTACCATTTCACCTCCATCATTCAATCGGACCTTACTGCTGAGGCAGCCTCACCCAGAGACGACATTTCCTACCGCTCCCTTGCATCCTGCGAGTAGTCCGTGGACCCCAAGAGAGCTCTTCTCTTCGCGAAGATGGAGATTGGTTGGGTGAAACGCGCGGCCACATGGACATTTGCCGGACTAGGCCTCGCGCTGGCCGTAATCTCCTGCTGCGAGATGGCCGATAACTATCTCGTCCTTTCCCACCCCGACGCCTGCATCGCTTCATCCAACCGGACCCACTGCGCGGCAGAGTTCCGCGTGGCGCGGAGATCCCTAGGCGTCGTGCCGCAGACGCCGGAGCAAGTCACCTCAGCCATGATCGCAGCGGTGCAAGCGCAAGTTGCGGCGCTAATCGCGGCGGCCGACGAGATTAAGTCGAATAACGTGGAGGAGGATCATTTCACAAACGCCATGGCGAGGAGCTGCGCGCGACAAGCCACCATCGCGCTGCGCTACCTGGCGCAGGCGGCGGATGCGGTCGAGGCCGGCACGAATCAGCGCGACGTGCCGTACTGGTTGGCGGCCGCCGATACGCAGATCGACAACTGCGTTGACGGTTTCCAGACCTTCTCGCCCGCTGCGCAAGCCTTCCCCGCCTACGTGCACCTCGAGGTTCGTTACAAATACTTCAAAATAAAGTAATCGCAAGGCTCTCCCGTCTGCGTACACCTCGAGGCTCGTTACCGTCGAAGTAAAAATACTCGGCTGCATTGCACGCATTCGCGCCAAGGTTTTCTCACTTGCGTTCTTCTATCATGAAACATCATGTTTCCGGTTTTCAATCGGAAATCCATTGGAAAACCAAGCCTGGCAATTTTTGTCGAATGCTCGGGATCCTCCAAACCTGAACCCGGTTTTTTGTGATGATCCTCTTTCTCCGCGCAATTGCAGCACTGGTTTACTATCAGATTCTGAATTCCCGAACCCCTCTCTCCGTATCCCCCAACTCCCCACTTCCCCTCCGCAGTATACGGCTAAGAGGGCCGGAAACACGCTTGAAGCACTCGTTTCCATCACCAACGCCGCCGCGAAAGCCGCCACATCCGCCGCTACCAGCGTCTCGTCAACGGAGGAGGACGTCGCGCCCGTGCGCGGGCGCCGCATGGCCGTCCGATCCAGCGGTGCGGGGTCCGCGGGGAACGGCGCGATGGATTGGCTTGAGCCGGGCTTGTACGAGCAGCTTCAGGAGCTTCAGTCGAGGTTGAACGCCGAATTCGCCGCTGCGAGCGGGGAAGATTCGAAGGGCGGTACTGCCTCGAGAAGGCTTCTGTTCCACCACCACCACCATCACGACCATAACAGCAAGAAGGACAAGAAGAATAGGAAGAGCAAAAGCAGCAGCAAGAGCAGCAGTAAGAGTAGCAGCAGCAAGAAGAAGGCGTCGCCGAACGAGGGTCCGATGGTCGTCAGCCCGTCTCTCGCGGCCAGCGCGACCGTCGGATCCGGATACTCGACGATTCAAGACGCCGTCGACGCCGCTCCCGGCGGCACGCGATTCGTGATCTACATTCCCGCGGGGACGTACAAGGAGCAGGTGTTGATCGAAACGACGGATATCGTTCTGATTGGTGCGGGCGCGGACAAGACGATTATCACGGGCGACGCGAGCTACGGAAGCGGGTCCGGGACCTTCGAGTCGGCTACAGTTGGCGTGGATAGCGACAGGTAATGCCTCCCATTCACCTTTCTGCCCTTATGTCTCTCCCCTTTCGGGCCTTATTTCTCTCCCCCATTTCTGCCCTTATCTCTCTCCCCGCGTGCTGCCCTTCTCCTTTCTCTTGTCATTCTCTTCCTAACTCACGCTCGACTTCGCTTTTCTCTTATACCCGCCCACCTGGTAACCACCCAACAGGTTCGTCGCCTTCGGAATCAAGTTCGAAAACACCGCAGGCCCCGATAACCACCAGGCAGTTGCTTTCCGCGCCACGGGCGACCAATCCGCCCTCTTCGACTGCGCGTTCGACGGATCGCAAGATACGTTGTACGTGGACGCGGGGCGCCAGTACTACAAAAACTGCTACATCGGCGGCTCGCAGGATTTCATTTTCGGCGACGCGGCGGTCGTTATCGACGCTCCGAAAATCCAGCTACACCCGAGCGCGTCTTTCGGGACTCTAACGGCGTCGGGACGCGCCAAGGACACCCCGACGGGGATCGTGATTCGCGACGCGGTTGTCTCGGCGGACAGCGGTACTACCAAGGTGTATCTGGGCCGTCCCTGGAAGAAATGCGCTTTCACTGTTTTCATCAACGCATATCTCCCCGCGGTAAGCCTTCCATCTTCCTCTCGTTTCCGTTTCAGTTTCCGTTTCCATTTCTGTTTCCTTTTTCCGTTCAGTCGCTCCTATGAGTAGGCAATGATTCACCCTCCTTGCCACCCGCCTTCCACCCTCAGGTGATCGAGACGGACGGCTGGCTGTCGTGGAACGAGGGCAGCTGCATGTTTGCTTACCTTCCCACCTCATTCACCCCCTATCCCCATTCCCCATCTCTCCCCAATCCCCCTTCAGGTGGACGAGACGGACGGCTGGATGTCGTGGAACGAGGGTAGCTGCATGTTTGCTTACCTTAATCCCACCTTCCCCTTATACTTGTTAACCAACCCTCCCCCCCAATCCCTTCGCAGGTGATCGAGACGGACGGCTGGCTGTCGTGGAACGAGGGCAGCTGCATGTTTGCTTACCTTAATCCCACCTTCCCCTTATACTTATTAACCAACCCTCCCCCCCAATCCCTTCGCAGGTGATTGAGACGGATGGCTGGCTGTCGTGGAACGAGGGCAGCTGCATGTTTCTGGCGGAGGCGGGCAGCACGGGGCCTGGCGCCGCCTCGTCCCGCGCGGACTGGGTGGACCCTGGGATCATCACGGACGTTAGCGGATATGACGCCAACACGTTCACGCAAGTCAACACCTGGCTCAGCTGGTCGGTCTAGTGTTTTCACCAGCAGCAGCAGGAGTCTCAGTAGCGGTAGTCTCAGTAGGAGCCTGCAGAAGCGCCAAGCCTGATAGAATAGCTCGCTCAGTTGGCCGTGCTAGTGTTCATGTTAGCATACCACCACCACCAGCAGTCATGTGCACCTGTGTAATGAATGTGCAATTCATTACTGTAGAACTGTCCTTAGCGAGGACAGCCCCGAGCAGTTCGCGTCAGTGTGGCTCGGCCTACACTTTCGCACCGAACCAGCCCCGAGTCGCCCCGCACCAATTGCGACATTCCCGAGCCACGCACATCGAGGTCCTCGCCTAGCACGGTTTCGACCCTATAAATGCTCGTCTCTTTATCATTCTCGTCATTCTGTAATTCTCATCTCTTTTATAAAGTCTTCCGCGCACTCTTCTAGTATCAGAGCCTAAGTTCCTAGGTTCCCCGTTTTTTAGAGTGTATTACCCCTCGGGGGGGGGACAGGGAAGGATGCCGTGGTGACAGGAGCAGCGCAGTAGCCGGCCAGGAGAACGGGTATTTACTCCTAGCGGCCATGGATTTCCCTGGCGCTCCTGCGGCACCGACGGATCCTTGCCCTCGACGGTCAAGATCGACCGTGGCCTCCCTCCCCCCGGGTGGCGGACAGCTTTTGCTGTCGTCGCAATTAATGCGTGAGTTAACAGTACTCGTTTCGGCCTTTTCGGAGTTAATTTGTGTGGCAGCTGACGTCGACAGGATCTCCGTCACTGCACGTCCGAAGATGTCGGAAGCAAGATCGTCGTGCGAGTTGCGACGGCGTGTGGTCGACAACTGCGCGCGACAATTTTGGAGCGGATTGCATGCAGTACGTGGCGTCGAGCGTCTTCGTCACGTTGCGCACCAGTCCGTTGGAGGTCTTCGGCAAGTGACGATCGTGGTCACTGTGCGCGAAGATTTCGGGTAGCAGCACGTGGAAAACGACTGCTGTGCGAGCAGCCAGGCGCATGGTGATTTGCGTCAGAAAATGCAACGGCGCGGAGTGACGGCGTGAGGATTGCCCGAAGAAAGCGGGGGTCTACCGTCGTCCAGCCCGGGTGTGGCCGGTGTGGCTACAGGAGGGTGCGTCGTTGGCGTTTTCGGCAGGAGCGGCACAGTGTGGGACGGAAGTTATTTTCAAACCACCGAAAAGTGCGGAAAAGGCCGCCTACGACTAGACTGTTCGCGTTAGTGTCAATTCTGCGCCTGCAACTGTCAGAATCAACAACGTCGGCCGAAAATTTCGGAGCAACAGCAGCAGCCGACACTGTACTTCAGGCGGCACAGTTTCCCCCTGATCAAGGGAAGTTGTGTCGCAGACGGGGCAGTACACCCACGAGGACAACGGTTTATCGCAGCGTCTAGACACGCGAATTTCGCCTAGTCTACCGGCTACAATATACGGAGTTGCGACAAATACGGGTCTGGCGAGAGAAACGGATTCCGAGCTTCAGGAGGGGAGAAAACGACCTACTGCGACGACTTTTTGCTGAGGCCGGGTTTCGCGGCTAAGCGGCGGTAGCAGAAGGAGCTCCCTACCGGCCAAAGTCCACCGACGTTTCGCATACCCCACGCCCAGACGGTCTCGAAGGTAATGGTAAGACCAAAGAGCCACTGGATCCAAAGGTGGGGCCCTGTGTTTAGCCCTGTGCTGGTTAGAAAGGCGCGGGTGACGCTGGTTCGACGGAAGGGCGTTCAAGAAAAAAATTGAAGGATGCGGCACTGTTTCGGCCCCGACAAAAACGGACCATCGGCGACAGTTACCCTGCCGAAAATGTCGGGACTGAAGAAATCGTGGCAGCTGTCGGGAATTTCTCCTAATTTACCGGTCTACCCAGCGGCGGTGTAGCGGCAAAGACTGGGGCGACAAAGCCGTGGAATTTTAAAAGCGATAAGACGCGGTGGGCAAACGAAGCGGCCGGCCCGACGGTTTGATCCGATAAACCTGATCCGGTTACGATAGCATTCGCGCCTTCACCGATGTCAGAAAAATCGCGGGCAACACGGAGTTATACCTCATCCGACAAAAGCGGACGCTGGGTGAACGGCGGCAAGCGAAATTGTCGGGGGGTGAAGACAAAAACAAATGGAGGGAAATTTGTGGGTGCTCCTGCAAATCTCCAGAGTGAAAGGTGGAGCTCGTACACGTGCTGCTGCCGCCCGCTCGTCGCCCGCTGCAGCGCCTGCCCGCTCGTCGCCCGCTGCAGCTGCCGCCCGCTCGTCGCCCGCTGCTGCTGCCGCCCGCTCGTCGCACGCTGCAGCTGCCGCCCGCTCGTCGCCCGCTGCAGCTGCCGCCTGCTTGTCGCCCGCTGCAGCTGCCGCTACCACGGGCCCGCAGCCGCAGCTACCGCCTGCGCGTCGCCCGCAGCCGCTCCCGCTCGTGCGCCGCGGCCGCTACCGCCCGTGCGCTCCTGTTGCGCCTGCTACCGCTGCCGCTGCTGCACTCGCTCCCACTGCGGCCGCCGCTTCTGCGCCCACTGCCGCTCCCGCCCGTGCGCATCAGCTGCTGCCGCCCGTGTGCTGACACTGCCCACAGCTTCCCTGCGGCCTCATTCTTACTGTTTCTACCGCTACTGCTACTGCCGCTATGGCTACTCCTACTGTACTTACTTTCGATGCTGAGGGCCGTCCAGTGAAGTTCGAAACCTGGCTCGATGACCTCCACCTCTTTCTACAGCTCACTGCTAAGGAGGACGTTTCACTGTACGATCACGCCCTAGGCAACGCTACTGCCCCTCCTACCACTGCTGACAGCACTCAGCGCTCACAGTGGCAGACTCGTGACGCCCACGCTCGCTTCGCTATTCGTAACTCCCTACCGATCGACGAGCGCGAGCACTTTGGCCAGCACAAAACTGCTAAGGACCTGTACACTGCTGTAGTCGCTCGCTACTCCTCCCCCGCTTCTGCCACACTAGGCCGCCTCACTCTCCCCTACCTGTTCCCCGACCTGGCCTCCTTTCAGACAGTTGCTGACCTCATCACCCACCTTAAGACTAGTGAGGCCCGCTTTCGCGCTGCTATGCCTGACGAGTTCCTCACCAGCAACCCCCCCCCGCTCTGGATCACTCTCTACCACATAGTCACCCGCCTCCCCGACTCCCTGCGCACAGTCAGGGACCACTTCCTCTCTCGCTCCCCCACTGAACTCACCATTGCCCTCCTCGAGAAGGAACTGCTTGCAGCTGAGGCGAGCATCGTCGCTGTAGGCACCTCTCGTGGCGACCCCCGCACCCCGTTCTTTGAGGGGTGTTCCCCTTCCCCTCTCCTCCCCTCTGTCGCCTCTGCTGCTGCTGTCGACCTCCTTGGTGCTGAGAAGGTCGGGGCCGCGTCTGCTTCGAGCGGGCGCCGCAAGAGCAAAGGGGGCAAGGGTGGAGGTGGCGGCGGAGGAGGTGGGGGTGGAGGCGGTGGGAGTGGAGGAGCGGCTGGGGAGGCTAGTGGCGGCAGTGGGGGTGGTGACAGCAGCGGCGGGAGTGGCGGCAGGGGTGGAGGCGGCAGCGGAGGCGGAGGTGGTCGTGGCAGCGGCAGGGGTGGAGGTGGCCGAGGCGGTGGCGGCGGCAGTGGTGGTCGTGGAGGCGCTGGCGGTGGCCAGAGTCAGCAGCCCGCCCCGTCGCTTCAGGCCGCCCGTGAGTGGTATGCGCAGCGTGGCTTTACCTGCACGTATGTCATTCGCACTGGTGACCGCACTGGCCAGCAGTGTGGGAGGCCGCATCCCACACAGCGCTGTTTCGCGCGCCTTACTGACGCGTGGCGTGCCCAGTTTCCTGATGCCACTGACCTGCCCCGATGTGTTAGAATCCCAGCCACTAACCACTGGGATAAAAGGGCTTGTTTGTGTAGCGGGTGAGTGCGCCCATAACCCCCCAGGCCAACGTGCCTGTAACCCTTCCCTAGGATCATCAGGGATCACCAGTGGACCTCTGACACCCCCCCGCACTGGGATGCCCGAGGTGCACACACCGGGATTCGAACCTGAGACCTTCGCTCTGATACCATGTTAGAATCCCAGCCACTAACCACTGGGATAAAAGGGCTTGTTTGTGTAGCGGGTGAGTGCGCCCATAACCCCCCAGGCCAACGTGCCTGTAACCCTTCCCTAGGATCATCAGGGATCACCAGTGGACCTCTGACACGCTGGGCTGATCTGGAGAAGAAGGGAGTTGATATCTGGGCTTTAGACTTTGATGCTATTCTCACTGCCATGTATGCGATGTTTACTAGTGGAGAGGGTGCTCAGTACTTGCGTGTTCCGCCCGACCCGGGCATTCAGACCAGTCCGGCTGCCGCTCTAGGTGCTAGTGAGTCTGCTGCCCCAGGTCCTGGTGAGGCTGCTGCTCTAGGTGCTAGTGAGTCCGTGCCCTCTGGTACTGAGTCGACTGCAGCACTGCACACCTTCACACTGGACTCAGGTGCTTCTCGCTGTTTCTTTCGTGACCGCACTGTCCTTGAGCCGCTTGCTCGGCCAGTTGCTGTCTCCCTCGCTGACCCCTCTAGGGGTCCGGTCGTTGCGACCTCCTCCACTGTCCTTCCTTGTCCTGCGGTCCCGTCAGGCACACTGTCAGGTCTCTACCTCCCCTCGTTCTCCACGAACTTGGTGGCAGGTAGTGCGCTCCAGGACGGGGGTGTTCACCAGTTCACCCCTGCTTACGAGCGCGTGACCCACTGCACGTGTGCTCGGACGGGCCGTCACCTGGCTACCTTCACTCGGCAGCCGGGGTCGGACCTGTACACACTGACCACTAAGTCCCCTCAGGTAGCTGCGTCCGCGTCTGCGTCTGCGTCAGGTCAGCTGTCCGCCCCCTGCTCGTGTCGCTCTCTGGCGCATGAGACTGTCCTCTGGCACCACCGCCTTGGTCACCCGTCTGTGCAGCGCCTTCGGGCCATGCACAAACGGGACCTTGTTGCTGGTCTTCCCAGGGTTCTCCCTCCCCTCCCACCCTCGCCTGCTCCTCCCTGTCTTCCCTGTGTCGAGGGGCGGCAGCGCGCCGCTCCTCA